GGCTGTGCTAGCGGGGAGGTCTTTTGCTCCAACCCTTGGCATTTCTGTAAATAGCCCTTTAGAAGAGACAGAAGGGGCTGGTGGGTTTTGACCCCGGCCCTCCTGAGGCTATACTGTCTTTCTCCCCTCTATATTTCTACCTAAATATTTCTCACCTTTCCCTTCTCAAGAGTACCCTGGGGGAAAATGTGGGAGCAGGTCTCCCACACCATATCAACCAACACAACCAAGAAAATCCCTCATGGGCATGCCCACAGGACAAACCAATGTAGACACTTCCTCATTAAGACTCTATTCCCAGGTGGTTCTAAGTTGTATTAATTTGACAAATAAAAGTTGCCCTAGCACAGACGGAAACTGGCAGACTAGTGTGGCCAGGGTATCTCGATCGCTCATAACCCTATGCCTCATCCTGTCAACACAAATTGCTTTGTTTTGAATATACTCTCAAAGCCCAAGAGGCACATACCTGTATGACAGAATGCATCTTGGTAAGGCGATACCCAGTTGAGTTAAAGTCCTTGGGTTTAGCTGCCAGAACCAATCTGAGAGTGTCCCCGGCATTTATCACATTGCCAGGCCTGGATACAAAAACACGGCCGTGAATTTAGCTAGGGAGTAGTTATGGTAACATGTGTCAACTGGAAATGTAGAGCAGGGCTCATTCTGAGAGCAGCCATTTCTGGTTTGATTTATTTGGGGGGGGTGTTCAAAAAGAAAATGATTTTTTTTCGTGTCACATACCCCAGTCAAGTAAAATGTAAATGATAAAACGGGGGAAATACCAAAACAAACCCCAATCTAAAGCATATGTATACGCTATCTCTACAGGAAGGAAGAAATAACCAGTATATTTTGTTGCGGTTGCGGCTGTTTTTCATTGCTTTGTTTTATTCTGTATTTGTTTCCTCTCATCTTGTATATATATTACACTACTTTCCTGTCTTTTTATTTTCCAATCTCCCTTCCATTAATATGACTATGTATTAATAATTTTACCATTAATAATACTTACATTCCTAGCTTATGTAATCTAACTCCTCTTTTTTCTATCCTTATGGAGTATGTGTAATTGATGTTTCCATGTTTTTTTAAAATGTGTACTTAGTGTGAGACCAAAATGAGCCATCTTAGAAATAAGACCAAAATGCCTTCACCCAAAAACTAAGGCCTAAGATTTCTCCTTCTAGGAATAGGCCAATAGTTACTGAAACAAGTCAGTTCAGATTCCAGAAACCAGGAAGTGTAAAAGTACAGAGTCACAAGATAGTCCCGAGGTAATGCCTGCCCGACTATGGAATGTCCTCTCCCTGGTTTCCAGGGTAACTGACCATAAAAATGTCCCCACCTGAGGGCAGCCAATGAGAAATGGTGGCGGGCAACCACTCCCTTAGAAGTAAGATTAAGCCATGATTTCTAGAAAGCCCCTAGAAGCGAGCCAATTAGAATTGTACCCGTCATAGCACCCCTAAATGATGTAACCTTGTGATTTTTCCCTTTAAAAGCTGAGCTTGCGGACAGGCAGGCACTTCCTCCAGCCTCCATTGCGTTGGATGTATTGGACGAAGTCCCTGCCTAGGCTTGTATTGCTTTTGGATATCCAGAATTAAACCTTGCTTTTGCATTCCGGCATGCTCGTCTTTGGTGGTCTCTCTGGGGGTCACGATCTGGGTACAACACTTAGTATGTGTGTGTTTGCAAGATGTGTGTGTATAAGGGTGTGTGTGTGTGCCACAGTGTGCATGTGGAAGTCAGGGGATAACTTTATGCAGTTAATTCTCTTCTTTCACCTTTATGAGGATTATGGGAATTGAACTCAAGTCTCCACCTGCTCAGCAAAGTACTTTTGTCCTCTGAGGCATCTCAAAGGCCGTTTTTAAACTAGATTTTAAAAATTCATTTATTGTATTTTACCAAGTCATGGTACAATGTAACTAAAAATCAAAAGCAAGAGAAACTAAAGAAAACACAAAAACATTAATTTCCACTCTGATTTGCATATCTCCTCCTGTCTACTTTCTAGGGTGCTGTTTGTGCTTGTCTTCCAGGGCTTTCAGGTGCATCATTAAGTTATTAATTTGCATTATCTTGGTTTTTTTTTGATGCAGGCACTTAATGCCATAACTTTGTTTTTAGGACTGCCTTCATCATACTCCATAGGTTTCAGTATGTTGTGCTTTCATTTTTTTTCAAGCCTAAGCAATTTAAAAAATTTTCCTTCTTGATTTCTTTCTTGACCCTAATTATCATTTACCATTGTGCTGTTTAGTTCCCATGAGATTGTGTATATTCTGTAGCATCTATTGCTGTTGATGCCCAGCTGAATTCCATTGTGGTCAGACAGAATGCAGGTTATGTTGTCAATTTTCCTTGTTTGGTGTCCTAGTATGTGGTCAGTTTTTGTAGAAAGTCCCATGGGCTTCTGAGAAGGATGTGTATTATTTAGTGTTTTGTGTAATGTTCTGTAGATATCCATTTGATTAATGATATCGCTGAACTCCAGATTTTCTGTTTAGTTTTTTTTTTTCCAAGATGACCTGTCTATTGGTGAAGTGGGATATTGAAATTACCCATGATTGCTGTGTTGAAGTAAATCTGTGGTTTTAGATTTCAGCATGCTTCTTTCATGAAACTGGGTACCATGTAAAATATTAATGAAATCATGAGTAAAATTCCCCAAATCTAGGGAAACAGAAGTCTAACCAGATACAAGAGGCACATAGGACATCAAACAGAGAAGGCAAGGAAAAAAAAAAAAAACCTCACTGTATTGTATTACAGTCAAAATAGTAAATGTACAGTGTAGTTGGTTTTTTTACTCTTTGGAGGCCTGCCACCCAGCTGCCAAATAAATACATGCAGACTTATTATTACTTCTGAATGCCCAGCCTTAGCTTGGCTTGTTTCTAGCTAGCTTTTCTAACTTAAATTATCTCGTTTCTTTTTAACTACGTTTTGCCTCTGGGCTTTTTACCTTTTTTAATTCTACATATCTTTCTTTCTTTCTTACTCCATGGCTGACTGTGTGGCTGTGTAGCTGGTTATGTGGCTGGGTGACTGACCCCGGTGTTCTCCTCTTCTCCTTTTCTCGATCCTCTCTTGCTTTTTTTCAAGATTTCTCCTCCAATTTATTCTCTCTGCCTGGCAGCCCTACCTATCCCTCTCTCCTGCCTAAGTACTGATTGTTCAGCTCTTTATTAGACCAATCAGGTATTTTAGACAGGCAAAATAACACTGTCTTATAAGGTTAAACAAATGCAACATAAAAGAATGCAACACATCTTTGTATTATTAAACAAATATTCCACAGCATAAACAAATGTAACACTGTGGGCATTCACAGAGGCTCCCTAGTAATGCCTCATTCAAGGTTAGAAAGTCTGAGCTTGCTTTATCCAGAAGGGCTGCATAATGGGATGATTTGGTCAAGGGCGTGGTTACCAGGTGTTTTGAAGTGTTTATACTTGTTGGTACTTTATACCTCGACCTTGAAACGGGGAAGTCTTTTGCGCCTTCCCTTGCTGATGTATAAAAAGCCTATCATGATTAAACTTGCATGGGGTGGGGGGCTGGGGGATGGGGCTGGGTATTGACCCAGAGCCCTCCCGAAGCTATCCTGTGTCTCTGTCTTTCTTGTTGGCTCTGCCTATATATCTATCTATTACTTCCTCATTCTTCTCTTCTCCTTCCAAGAACCCTTCAACAGGCTGGAGCTGGCCTCCGACATAACACATCTTAAACTAATATTCCACGACAGGACAGAACAAAAAAAGTATGTAACTGAAAAACTTTGAAAGAGAAGGGCCAAGGCAATACAAAGAGAGGCCCATCAAAATAACTGCTGACTTTTCAGTCTAAACCATGAAAGCAAGACCAGTGTTTTTCAAATTCTAAAAAAAAAATTACCACTAATTAATATACCAAGCAAACTTATCTTAATTGATGGAAAAGAGAAAAACTTTCCATGATATACGCAGGTTAAATGAATTCATGAGCAAAGCAGCACTACCAAGGACACTGGAAGGAATATTTCCATCTGAAGACAGAAATAAATACACCAAAGAGACCACAGGAGGGGGAAAAAATCAATGATGCTACTCATTAAATAAAAGAAAATCAAGAAACTCCCAGACACTACAAACCCAACAAAAGGGCAGGAAATGTGATGGTTTAATTTCAATGTGCTACCAATTAGATCATCTAGGTAAGACTCCTCAACTGAAGAAGTGTCTTAACTAACTTAACTGATGTGGGAAGACCTATTCCAAATGTGGGAGCACCTTCTGGTAATATCCCAGATAAAAAGGGAAGGGGTAGAAGGGAAATTATTCACTTTTTGCTCACTCGGTCTTCTCTCTTGCCACCAAGCTAATTTATCTTGTTGCTGCGGCTGATTCCTCTGCTGACATCAGAGCCAGCATAAGCAGGCTTCCATCAATGACCGAGGACCAGTGACTCTCCAGTAACTCCCCATATCTTTGGTGCCAGGTTTGGGCTGTGAGGCACCCAGCCCTATGGTCTGAGTAACTATCAGGTTCTCAGGTGTGCTTTAAGCAGTGAATACTTGCTTGACAGATAGAGAAGTTGTATTTTCCCCCCTTTGGATAAATTCTATTCACTAACAGAGTGAACCGCCAATGAAGGAACATGACACAGTTTTACCAAGTTCTCTTACATAGGGCATGAATGTATTGAACTGTGCCTATACTACACAAAAGGTACAATTTCCTGCCCAAGTATGCAATCTCACTAGTAGTTTGCCTGTGATGATGTCTTTCCCAGTGTGGTTTGAGGCTCATAAAAAGATAAAGTCCTTCCTCTGTTTCCCTCTGTTTTCACATTTGTGGATATTATTTATTTTTACACTTTTTTATTTTAACATTTGTGGAGATGTTATTTAAAGTGCCAACAGTATCAATCTAATTATGTCCCATAACTTTATTACCCTCTCTCCGTGCCCCCCTTCCCACATGCTTTCCCACCGTAGGCCAGCATTGTACCTTTCTCATGGCGCCTCAGGATCTGCCTTGAGACCGGGGCGAAGGAACAAGAAAAGGCTGGTGGGCGCGGGGAACCACCACTCCCAGCATCCTCCGCGCTCCCAGGGTCCACGGTTTCCTCTTCCGGTCCGGCGGCCGAGGAAACTGTAAAAGCTATGCTGGGGACGCGGCGTGGAGTTTGATTCACCTTCACCTGCGCGGGGCACCAGCTGACCCCGGGCTTCCGCCCGGAGAGCTGTCAGACATGAACGGACGGGTGGATTATTTAGTCGCTGAGGAAGAGATCAACCTGACGAGAGGACCCTCGGGTAGGCGCGGGACTTGGAGGGAGGAATTGCTGAGCTGGTTGGTTGGTTTTTGGAGCCCGGTTTACCTGGCTGGAGAGCAGGCCGGCCCGACCGAGTCGCGTCCAGGAACGCTCTCGGGCACGAAGCAAGAGTCCATTTTTTTTTTTTTTTTTAAAGCTAGTTAACGGACCCTGGGACTCCGCTTCACGACCCAGTCGAATTATCACAGGCGTTTATGGCCAGGAAGGGTTTCTTCCTGCTGGTGTAGTAGTCGAAAAGTCTAGAAAAATGCCCGCTGTTTAGTCAGCCTGTAGTAGACGCCACATCCGTTATTCAGGTGCCCGCATCATTCTTCTTTCTATGTGGGCCCGTTCAGGTAAAAAGGAGAGCAATAAACGGTGTGGTTTTTCTGAGTGCAGGGCAATTTCCCTGGTGCTAGGGACCCTGTCTGCATTTCTGGGAAATTAATTTACAGTTTCAGCTGGAATGCTAAAGCAGGAGGATAACTATGACAGAAGTTTCCAGACCTAGCGGCACCCCAGAATTATTTGGACTTTTTTTGCTTTTACTTTTCTTTAATAAACAAATTAAAATGAAAATGCTATTTTTCTAGTCCCATCATTAGGGATTTGGATTCAGTATGGATTAAACAGTTCTTTAAACACTTCATGTTATTCTGACAGGAAAGTTCCCCTCCCGCTCAGCCCCGCGGTGCGGTCTTCCTCATGGATGCTCCTGGTTGGGCTGGCCTTTTGACATTACTACGAGTGCTACCGTCTCCCTTGATCTTTGTTGTTTTCTTTATGGCTCTAACAGTTTAGGTTTAGGGTTAGCCACTTACGGCCCAAGTTTTTGATCTAACATCTTACCAGTTTTTTGTTTGTTTTTGTCTGGCTGGTTTTAATTTATTGGCAGAGTAATTTAATTGATGTATGCTATAGTTTCTTCTCTGTAGAATGGAGATGGTTATGAAATGCATAGTGTTTCACATATAGTGTTAGGGTGAAGCCAGTTACTCCCTGGGAAATATTTAGAACATTGTCTTAACATATGGCAAGCAGTGTTTATTTTCTACTATTGTTATCATTAGTGAATGAATGTCTAGATTGACCTTAGTAAGTTCTGCTAAATACTGTATTAGAAGAGTTGAATAAATCATTGGTTACTGTGAATTTCTATTCTACTTAGAATACTCTGTCAACTTTTCTCATCTACAAGTTTGCAATAGCTTACTCACTACTGATAGATTATTCTGTATAAAGCACAACTTTCAGAATTAGTCATACTTTTTGTCTTCCTGTTATGAGAAAATTGAAAGTTGGTCTTTGTTGGGCCCCGGTCCCTGTTTTTTGGGGAGCTGTTGCCTTTGCTTGCTGACCTTGATCAGTGTCCTCCCTATGCTAATTCCCTGCTGGTTTCATTCCTCCTAAACAGCGTACGGAAGGTTCCTTGTTTGCATATCCTGCATATTGGTGTAATGCTAGAATGTAAAACATCTGTAGTTTATTTTTGCCCTCCCAGGTTCTTCCACTATACTGTAAGTCTGTATTTAAGGCCTTGTCCCTCCTTCAATAAAGGGCATTCTACTGAGACGAATGACCCGCTGTCTTGTCTCTCTTTTTAATCCTCAGCCCCTGGCTTGGACATGGTGAATGGGTAGTAATTCGGGCGTTGCTACAGGTCCTATTTATGGGAGTAACTCACTGCTAATCTTTGTGGTTTATGTAGAAGCTCTGTCCTGGTTGGGTTTTGTTGTTGTTGTTGTTGTTTGTTTGTTTATGTTTTTTGTTTTTGTCAGCTTGGCAGAAGCTAGAATTATCTGGGAAGAGAAACTTCAATTGAGAAAATGCCTGGCAAGCCTGTGGGGGCATTTTCTTGGTTGATGTGGGAGGATCCAGCTCACTGTGGGCAGTGAGTGCTACCCTGAGCAGGTGGTCCTGGATTGTAAGAAAGCAGGCTGAGTAAGTCATGAGGAGCAAGCCAGTAAGCAGCACCCCTTCAGTTCCTGTCTCCGGGCTCCTGCCTTGAGTTCCTGTCTCTGGGCTCCTGCCTTGAGTTCCTGCCCTGATTTCTTTTCATGATAGACTGTTACTTGAAAGTGTAAGATTAAATAAATCCTTTCATTCCGTAGTTGCTTGTGTCGTGGTGTTTTGTCCTAGCACCAGAAACCTAAGATAAGCTCAGAAACTAGTTCAAAGGCTTTTCATTGTGCCCAAGTGTCTTGAATTTTCTTATTTTATACAATTCTTCTCTCAATATCAATGATTTTTAAGGCTAACATGGTAGAAATGGATTTTATTATATTTATTTAGTTATTTGTGTGTGGGGCTGTTGCACCCAAAGTCTGATGTCCCCAAAGACCACTAAGAAACTGATCTGAAGCAAAGAGTCTTCCCATTCATGAGTTCAAACCTGGGCCCCTTGTCTGTCACAGCGGTGGAGTGAGAGGGACCCCACACAGTAACAGGATAGGATTTTTATAGTGGTTGGGGGGGGGGGGGTCTAGGAGAGTTCCAGCTCTATATAGTTACAGGCTCAGGATTGGTGCTTACTTCAGGTAATTGGTGATTCTTGGTTTGAACTGACTGGAGAGTTGCAGCTGCAAGGAAATTGCCATCTCTTCTAGCAGTTTATGTCATCGTATCTATATCATTAGCAGGCCCACTTTCTCTGACAACTAGACATCCCATTTCTTATCTGTAGGAAACTTGCTCCCTCTAACAGCTATGGTATATAATCTATCATATCCTTTAGGTTGTGGCAGGAAATGTCTGGAATTCATTTTTTTTATGTGGTTCTTAATTGTCTGGGTCTAGGGGACAGCACATCCTCTGATGAGTTTCCCAGGGCCTGCTGCCCCTAGTCTAATCTTCTGGTGGGTTTCCCAGGGTCTGCTGCTCCCAGTCTAATCTGGTGGGTTTCCCAGGGCTTAGGGTGGAGGGGCGGCACATCCTCTGGTGGGTTTCCCAGGGCCTGTTGCCCCTAGTCTGACCCTTCTCTAAGATGGCTGCAACTCTGTCATCCTCTCAGGGCAAAGGGGTCTGTAGAGCTCAGAGGGCAACTTTCAGGAGTCAGTTTTCTCCTTCTATCAAATGGGTCCCTGGGATTGAAATCAGGTTGTCAACTTGGTGGCAAGTACTTCTATCACTGAGCCATCTCACCCAGCAGCCTCAGATCTTTAAAAGTCTATTTTTATGTACTTTTCATCTTTTGATACTTCTTTTTCTTAGGATCTAATTGCTTTACAAGTCCACAAAGGCATCAAGTTCTTTAACCTAAATATCCTACCATGATACTACTTTTTATGATGTTTGAGGTTTTTTTTCTTGCCTTCTGGCAAGAACCTAATGTACTTTGATATAGGCTCTTTGCAATAGTACCACAGTATTTCTAAGGTCTTCCAATGAGAGCAGATTTCTGATATTATTTTTGCTTTAAGCACTTAATTCAACATAATATCACTGTTTGAACTTTTGGATATTTAAATGGGCATTGTCTGATTTCTAAGCATTGATCTTACAGATCTAAAGTTTCTAGTTTTAGAGACTATTAAATAAGAGGAATAAGTATATCTAGGTAACGTGTTTTTACACAAAAGCAATTTAATTTCTGTGTTGTATAGTTATTTGTTTAAAAATAAAGAATGTGGGCTGGAGAGATGGCTCAGAGGTTAAGAGCACTGACTACTCTTCCAGAGGTCCTGAGTTCAATTCCCAACAACCACATGGTGGCTCACAACCACCTGCAATTAAATCTGGTGCCCTCTTCTGTATACATAATAAATAAATAAATCTTAAAAAAAAATAAAGAATGTATTTATCCATTGAGTAGCTTCTGGAATTTTCATAAGTATTTCCAAATATTAGTCATTGTTATTTGTCAGGTTTCTCTAGAGGAATAGAATCAATAGAATGAATATGTATATTAAAAGGGAGATTTATTAGATGGTCGTACTTAATAAGGTCTGAGTAGTCCAACAGTGCTTGTTTGCCCTATGAAGAGGTTGAGAACGTGGTAGCTACTCAGTTCATGAGGCTGAATGCCTCAGCAGATCCAATCTGGTGCTGAAGATCTGGAGGATTCCTGGGGAGCCACTGACCTTTAATCCATACTGGAAGCCCAAAGACACTGGATTCTGATAGCAGGGAAGAAATGTAGCAGCAGCAGAGGCAGCAGCAGTAGGGGAGATGGTCTCAACCAATAGGGTGATTAAACTCACCAGGGAAGTGTGAAGGAAATAAGGCTTTAGAAGGAAGCTTTTTCCCTTGGACTGCATATCTGGTTGACATTGGAAGGTACTGCCTACACTTGAAAATCACTTACATGTTCCTTCGTGGTTAATCTCCTAGTTGATTCCAGATCTAGTAAAATTGAAAACCAAGATTAACCATTATATTGATGTAAATCATAGCACTTCCTAAGAAAAAGTAATTACAAGTTTAGAAGTGAACTTGCTAAAAATAATCATTGCATGTTTGTTGGTTCAGTAAACAAGGAAAGGTTTCAAGTTCCTGCTTATCACTTCCCAGAACTAGTTCCTGGTCTGTGGTACTGTTGGTCTCAGAATCTTCATGGTGACATCATGAAGATACACAGAGAAGAAGTCAGTAATTACCACTAAAAACTGTGTAATTTTGATAGTGCTATGGGAGTCTTTCTACAGGAGAAATATGAGAAGCCTCTGATTCTACGTATACAGTTCTGTTTATAGGCAGCATTGTCTGGTTTTACTGGGTGAAGGTGTAGATGATTACCTCTTTGTGCCAGAATGATGTCAGACAAGAATCTTGGATATTTGCAGTTTTGTAAGGCAAATGAACCTACTGAAAAAACAGACAAACAAATCCACAATGCTGGGAAAATGACAACAATGAAATGAGTGTCTAAGTAGTGAAAGGGAAATGGCATGTAGTGTGGCCTTTGTCCTGTGCTTCCTTCCTCGTCATTGTAAGAAAGGTCTTGGCAGTCTTTGATTCAGAAGGCTGTTCTGCTTTTGTTCTTGGGCTCATTCCTCATGTTAT